TGGCAGGTCAGTGAAGTACTACTTCGTTTACATAGTACAAATGATTAAAATGAACACAAGCATACAGTTTATAAGGAATTGCTCATGAATGCGAAAGATCGGTTTCTCTCTCTCCCTTTTCATTAATTTTTTATTGTATTTTACTTTATTTACTTATTTCTTAATTAATTACATCATTTTTTTTTTATTTACTCCTTCAGGCTGGTTATAACACTGTGGACTCTGCCAGTTCTTTCACAATTCCAGCAGCCAGTGTCCCTGAGCTGTCTTCAAGCAGAAATATCAATGTGACTGCTTGCTGGTCTTTCCATGTCGATGCCTCGCCAAAACGTAAGCCTATAACTTGTAATATTGTTTAGAAAAAGATTGTCAGGGTGAATTCACTAAAGTTTGGTGGCAGTTGTAGCATGCCGTGCTTGAACACAAAACCTGAATCTTATTTACAGTTGAGCTTTACCGGGCACATTGTTTTTGAGTGCACTTTTGGCCTTTTAATGAGTAAAAATTCAGATGCTGGATGCATCAGTGGGTGAGTCATACTATGCATTCCCAGAAAAGTCTGGCAGGTTGCAGTGGTCTGCTCTACTCCCCACAACCTTGCACTCAGAAGCAGCCTGCGAGCTGGCCGAGTGCCCTTGGCAAATTCTGATCAGCGCTAATTATGTGGGCATGAGACTCTTGCTCCCTTACCTGTTTTGCATCATTTATGCAGTGAATTGGGTCCCAAAAACCTGTGGCTCACTCCAAAATAAACAACACTGTTAGAGAGCACAATTCAATCTTAGTGAATTCCCCTTTCAAACTTTTGAGCAGGATAGTGTTTGCGAGCTTATGATTCTGGGGAAAGAACACTAAATGATTCCTTGTCATTTACATTTGTCCTAGTGCCAGCTAATTTGCTACCTTTTGGAAATGGAGAAAGAGTAACACCCCGTTTGGATAGTGGAAGCTCTGAAGCCATTACATTGCATCAGCCTTTCAAGTTTTTTGGACACACACACAACCAGACCTTTGTAAGCATTTTTGTTGTCGTTGTCCTTATTTAGATGATTAGTTGTTTTATCTGCTTGCATTAGAAATGACAAGTCTCTTCAAATGAGTAAAACTAGTAGCTCTACTTTTTTCAGACGTTGCTACTTTGATGTACGAGTGTTTGAAATTTGAAATTCAGAGGACTTTTGATTTATAGAATTAACCAGTAGGAATTATGCCAAATTCTGCCTCTTCATTCTGTCACCATATATTTCCCCTCACAACACGTGCAAACGTTTTGTCCTAAACTTTAGGTCAACAACAATGGCCATCTAACGTTTACTGAGCCACTGTCCGACTACATCCCCCTGCTGAATTCTGGAAGAGACATTGTTGCTCCTCTCTGGACTCACCTTGACAACAGACGTGGTGGAACTATCTCTTATAGAGAGGACACAAGCAGTGTTGTACTGGAGCTCATCACTGCATCTATCGACCAATACTTCCCCAACATAACTTTTGCTGCTACATCAGCTTTTGTCGCGACCTGGGACAGTGTGCCATACCACAATGGTGGAGGGGTAAGATTGAATTGTTGTTTATCAATGAATTAGTGTTGTCCTGTAAAGATTTTTCATGCTTTCTCTTGCTATTTTGAAGGTGGCTACTTTCCAAGTGGTTTTTATCTCCAATGTCCATCGCTCTTTCATCCTCATCAACTATGGAGACATTGCAGAGACCGAACAAATGTGGCTGGTGAGTGGTATCAGGTCCATGTAAGCTTTACGAATGAGACAGATGACAAGGAATTGCCCTTGCCTAGCTTCATACCTTACATTCTACCAAAAGGCAGTTATATCTGGAACAGGTTGATGACCTAACAACGATTCCTTTTTACTTCTACAGGCTGGTTACAACACATTGGACTCTGTCCATTCTTTCACAGTTCCAGTGACCAGTGCCCCAGAACTCTCATCCAGCAGCAATATCAACATGAATGGTCGCCGATCTTTCCATGTTGACGGCTCACCTAACTGTAAGCCAATGCAACCAGAAGCTCAAGCTTAACATGTACCATTTGTGAGCTTGTTTCTTCAGCAGAAGCAGAGAGTTCATTCTCACTTATCCTTTCCTTAGTGCCAACTAATTTCCTCGCTTCTGGGGATGGAGAAATTGTCAACCCCCCTGCTGAGGATGGAAGCTCGGATATCATTTTCTTGCAGCAACCTTTCAAATACTTTGGACACACATACAATCAGATCTACGTAAGCACAACATTTCCCGTACCATTTAAGTTATTTATGTACCCCTCTTTTTTTTTTGTTTTCAAAATTCTCTTTAAAATATTTTCGAATGATTGTGGTCCTAAATTTTAGGTGAACAACAACGGATACCTAACATTCACCGAGCCGCTGTCTGCCTACACCCCCTTTCTGGATTCCCCAAGAGACATCATTGCTCCTCTTTGGACTCGCCTTGACAATCGACGTGGTGGATCTATCTCCTATAGAGAGGATACAAGCACTGCTGTACTGGCACAAGTCACTGCAGCTGTTAAGCAATGCTTCACCAACATACCATTTGCTGCTACAACAGCTTTTGTGGCTACCTGGGACAGTGTACCGTACTATAATGGTGGAGGGGTAAGACTTACCATAATCTTTGATTATTAATCAATGGTCTGTCTTGTCGCTTTGGAAGGTGTTGAATGCTGTCTGTTGGTGTTTTGAAGGTGGTCACTTTCCAAGTGGTTTTAGCGTACAATGTCCATCGCTCTTTCATCCTGATCTATTACGGAGGTGTTGCAGAAACAGAACAACAACTTACCATTTGCTGCTACATCAGCTTTTGTGGCTACCTGGGACAGTGTACCGTATTATAATGGTGGAGGGGTAAGACTTACCATAATCTTTGATTATTAATCAATGGTATGTCTTCTCGGTTTGGAAGGTATTGAATGCTGTCTGTTGGTGTTTTGAAGGTGGTCACTTTCCAAGTGGTTTTAGCGTACAATGTTCATCGCTCTTTCATCCTGATCTATTACGGAGATGTTGCAGAAACAGAACAACCTTGGCAGGTCAGTGAAGTACTACTTCGTTTACATAGTACAAATGATAAAAATGAACACAAGCATACAGTTTATAAGGAATTGCTCATGAATGCGAAAGATCTGTTTCTCTCTCTCCCTTTTCATTAATTTTTTATTGTATTTTACTTTATTTACTAATTTCTTAATGAATTACATCATTTTTTTTTTTTACTCCTTCAGGCTGGTTATAACACTGTGGACTCTGCCAGTTCTTTCACAATTCCAGCAGCCAGTGTCCCTGAGCTGTCTTCAAGCAGAAATATCAGTGTGACTGCTTGCTGGTCTTTCCATGTTGATGCCTCGCCAAAATGTAAGCCTATAACTTGTAATATTGTTTAGAAAAAGATTGTCAGGGTGAATTCATTAAAGTTTGGTGCCAGTTGTAGCATGCCGTGCTTGAACACAAAACCTGAATCTTATTTACAGTAGAGCTTTACCTGGCACATTGTTTTTGAGTGCACTTTCGGCCTTTTAATAAACAAATTCAGATGCTGGATGCATCAGTGGGTAAATCATACTATGCATTCCCAGAAACGTCTGGCAGATTGTAGTGGTCTGCTCTATTCCCCACAACCTTGCACTCAGAAGCAGCCTGCGATCTGGCTGACTGCCCTGGGCAAATTCTGATCAGCGCTAATTTTGTAGGCATGAGACTCTAGCTCCCTTACCTGTTTTACATCATTTATGCAGTGAATCGGGTCCCAAAAAAATGTGGCTCACTCCAAAAAATAAACAACACTATTAGAGAGCACAATTCAATTTTAGTGAGTTCCCCTTTCAAACTTTTAAGCAGGGTAGTGTTTGCGAGCTTATGTTTTTGAAAAAAAAAAAAAAAAACTAAAGGATTCCTTGTCACTTACATTTCTCCTAGTGCCAGCTAATTTCCTACCTTTTGGAAACGGAGAAAGAGTAACACCCCGTTTGGATAATGGAAGCTCTGAAGCCATTACATTGCAGCAGCCTTTCAAGTTTTTTGGACGCACACACAACCAGACCTTTGTAAGCATTTTAGTTGTCGTTGTCCTTATTTAGGTGATCAGTTGTTTTATCTGCTTGCATTGGAAATGACAAGTCTCTGCAAATGAGTAAAACTAGTAGCTCTACTTTTTTCAGACGTTGCTACCTTGATGTACGAGTGTTTTAAATTTGAAATTCAGAGGCCTTTTGATTCGTATAATTAACCAGTAGGAATTATGCCAAATTCTGCCTCTTCATTCTGTCACCATATATTTCCCCTCACAACACGTGCAAACGTTTTGTCCTAAACTTTAGGTCAACAACAATGGCCATCTAACGTTTACTGAGCCACTGTCCGACTACATCCCCCTGCTGAATTCTGGAAGAGACATTGTTGCTCCTCTCTGGACTCACCTTGACAACAGACGTGGTGGAACTATCTCTTATAGAGAGGACACAAGCAGTGCTGTACTGGAGCTAGTCACTGCAGCTATTGACCAATACTTCCCAAACATAACTTTTACTGCTACATCAGCTTTTGTCACTACCTGGGACAGTGTGCCATACCACAGTGGTGGAGGGGTAAGATCGAATTGTTGTTTATCAATGAATTAGTGTTGTCCTGTAAAGGTTTTTCATGCTTTCTCTTGGTATTTGGAAGGAGGCTACTTTCCAAGTGGTTTTTGTCTCCAATGTCCATCGCTCCTTCATCCTCATCAACTATGGAGACATTGCAGAGACGGAACAAATGTGGCTGGTGAGTGGTGACAGGTCCTTGTAAGCTTTACGAATGAAACTGATGACAAGGATTTGCCCTTGCCTCGCTTCATACCTTACATTCTACCAAAAGGCAGTTATATCTGGAACAGGTTGATGACCTAACAACGATTCCTTTTTACTTCTACAGGCTGGTTACAACACATTGGACTCTGTCCATTCTTTCACAGTTCCAGTGACCAGTGCCCCAGAACTCTCATCCAGCAGCAATATCAACATGAATGGTCGCCGATCTTTCCATGTTGACGGCTCACCTAACTGTAAGCCAATGCAACCAGAAGCTCAAGCTTAACATGTACCATTTGTGAGCTTGTTTCTTCAGAAGGTGGCTACTTTCCAAATGGTTTTTGTCTCCAATGTCCATCGCTCCTTCATCCTCATCAACTATGGAGACATTGCAGAGACAGAACAAATGTGGCTGGTGAGTGGTGACAGGTCCTTTTAAGCTTTACGATTGAGACAGATGACAAGGAATTGCAATTGCCTAGCTTCATACCTTACATTCTACCAATAGGCAGTTATATCTGGAACAGGTTGAGGACCTAAAAACGATTCCTTTTTACTTCTACAGGCTGGTTACAACACATTGGACTCTGTCCATTCTTTCACAGTTCCAGTGACCAGTGCCCCAGAACTCTCATCCAGCAGCAATATCAATGTGAATGGTCGGCGCTCTTTCCATGTTGACGGCTCACCGAACTGTAAGCCAAAGCAACCAGAAGCTCAAGCTTAACCTGTACCATTTGTGAGCTTGTTTTTTCAGCAGAAGCAGAGAGTTCATTCTCACTTATCCTTTCCTTAGTGCCAACTGATTTCCTCGCTTCTGGGGATGGAGAAATTGTCAACCCCCCTGCTGAGGATGGAAGCTCGGATGTCATTTTCTTGCAGCAGCCTTTCAAATACTTTGGACACACATACAATCAGATCTTCGTAAGCACTACATTTCCCATACTATTTAAGTTACAAGTTATTTATGTACCCTTCGTTTTTTTTTCAAAATTCTCTTTAAAATACTTTCGAATGATTGTGGTCCTAAATTTTAGGTGAACAACAACGGCTACCTAACGTTCACCGAGCCGCTGTCAGCCTACACCCCCTTTCTGGATCCCTCAAGGGACATCATTGCTCCTCTTTGGACTCGCCTTGACAATAGACATGGTGGATCTATCTCCTATAGAGAGGATACAAGCACTGCTGTACTGGCACAAGTCACTGCAGCTGTTAAGCAATGCTTCCCCAACATTCCATTTGCTGCTACATCAGCTTTTGTGACTACCTGGGACAGTGTACCGTACTATAATGGTGGAGGGGTAAGACTTACCGTAATCTTTGATTATTAATCAATTGCCTGTCTTGTCGGTTTAGAAGGTATTGAATGCTGTCTGTTGTTGTTTTGAAGGTGGTCACTTTCCAAGTGGTTTTAGCGTACAATGTTCATCGCTCTTTCATCCTGATCTATTATGGAGATGTTGCAGAAACTGAACAACCTTGGCAGGTCAGTGAAATACTACTTTGTGTACATAGTACAAATGATCAAAATTAATACAAGCATAGAAACTCTATTCTACTCTATAAAGGAATTGCTCATGAATGCGAAATAATGGTTTCTCTCTCTCCCTTTTCATTCATTTTGTATTGTATTTAAGTAAATTTTTTTAATTCTTAATGAATTACATCTTTTTTATTTACTCCTACAGGCTGGTTGTAACACTGTGGACTCTGCCAGTTCTTTCACAATTCCAGCTGCCAGTGTCCCTGAGCTGTCTTCAAGCAGTAATATCAATGTGACTGCTTGCTGGTCTTTCCATGTTGATGGCTCGCCAAAACGTAAGCCTACTTGTAAAACTTGTAATATTGTTTAGAAAAAGATTGTCGGGGTGAATTCACTAAAGTTTGGTGCCAGTTGTAGCATGCCGTGCTTGAAGACATAAAGCTGAATCTTATTTACAGTTGAGCTTTACCTGGCACATTGTTTTTGAGTGCACTTTCGGCCTTTTAATAAGCCAATTCAGATGCTCGATGCATCAGTGGGTGAATCACACTATGCATTCCCAGAAACGTCTGGCAGATTGTAGTGGTCTGCTCTACTCCCCACAACCTTGCTTTCAGAAGCAGCCTGCGAGCTGGCCGACTGCCCTGGGCAAATTCTGATGAGCGGTAATTTTGTGGGCATGAGGCTCTAGCTCCCTTACCTGTTTTGCATCATTTATGCAGTGAATCGGGTCCCAAAAACCTATGGCTCACTTCAAAATAAACAACACTATTAGAGAGCACAATTCAATCTTAGTGAATTTCCCTTTCAAAATTTCAAAAGCTAGTGTTTGCGAGCTTATGTTTCTGCGAAAAAACTAAAGGATTCCTTGTCATTTACATTTGTCCTAGTGCCAGCTAATTTCCTACCTTTTGGAAATGGAGAAAGAGTAACACCCCGTTTGGATAATGGAAGCTCTGAAGCCATTAAATTGCAGCAGCCTTTCAAGTTTTTTGGACGCACACACAACCAGACCTTTGTAAGCATTTTAGTTGCCGTTGTCCTTATTTAGATGATCAGTTGTTTTATCTGCTTGCATTGGAAATGACAAGTCTCTTCAAATGAGTAAAACTAGTAGCTCTACTTTTTTCAGACGTTGCTACCTTGATGTACGAGTATTTGAAATTTGAAATTCAGAGGACTTTTGATTTGTAGAATTAACCGGTAGGAATTATGCCAAATTCTGCCTCTTCATTCTGTCACCATATATTTCCCCTCACAACACATGCAAATGTTTTGTCCTAAACTTTAGGTCAACAACAATGGCCATCTAACCTTTACTGAGCCACTGTCCGACTACATCCCCCTGCTGAATTCTAGAAGAGACATCGTTGCTCCTCTCTGGACTCACCTTGACAACAGACATGGTGGAACTATCTCCTATAGAGAGGACACAAGCAGTGTTGTACTGGAGCTAGTCACTGCAGCTGTTATCCAATACTTCACTAACCTTCCTCTTCCATTCACTGCTACATCAGTGTTTGTTGCTACCTGGGATAGTGTGCCATACTCCTCTGGTGAAGGGGTAAGTCCTAATCTTTAATTGTCACCATTCTATCAAAATTGATTATGCATTGCTGTTTAGTTTTCTTTGAACAGTTCTGAAATTATGTCTATCTGTGTTTTGAAGGTAGTTACTTTTCAACTGGTCTTAATCTCCAATGTTGTTCACTCCTTCATCCTGTTTAACTATGGAAACATAGCAGAAACATTACAACGATGGCTAGTAAGACTCAAAGTGTTGTTGCAATTTAACAGAGATTCCTTTTACAAGCTTCCAGTTTACATGTCTTTTTTTTCATGCAGGCTCACTATGACACAGTGGACTTTGCACACTCATACAATTTTTCCTTATCGACGGCCTCTGAATTGTCATCCAACAGCAATGTCAATGTTAATGGTCGCTGGGGTTTTCATGTTTATGATGGTAATGTAATTTCTTTTCATCTGTATTTTTTTAGCATTCCCTGTATGGCCA